AGCTGCCGCCCCTCCAGGCGGCACCTGCCGCCCAGCGCTCCGCCGGGAGGCGGGGCGGGCTGCTGACCCGCCCGTGGCAGCGGCCGCTGCCGCCGTTGTCCGGCGGCGGCGCCGCCGATGTGTGGTGGGATCCCCGTTTTACCACTCCAGGGGCTTTTTCGGAGTTCGAACCTCCAAAATTATTCCGGGACCAGTTCCGCGAATCTCGCGATTATTCCGGACGTTCTTAATACATATGGGCTTACTTCCAGTAAATGTCCAAATGCCTTCGGCGCCGGACTGTTCTGCAGTCCGGCATTTACTTCAGGCAATTGCTTTGCCTAATGATGACATTGAAGCTTTATTGCAAATGTAGAATTATTAAGAGTAGAAGAGAAATATGCATTGAAGTTGCTAAAATTAAATAGGCAGAGTTTTTGTTTACATTACCTGATTTTAATCGACGACGCTCTAACTCCAGATTAGGCTCCTGCTTAGGAAATATTTAATTAATTTAATATTTGTTAATTTAATGTCCAAAATATTCACAATAAAAATAGCAAATTAAAATTAAATTAATGCAAAAAGCGGTAAAGAAACCAAAGGAGCGTGAGAGGCGAGAGATTCGTCCGTCACACAGACCAGGGGTGTCAAAATTGGACTGTGAAAATGCCATATAGGCCATTTTCGGGTCTAGGGCTGCAGGTGCCGCCTGGCTGGGCGGCTGGGTTGCCGCCTGGAGGGGCGGCTGGCGGAGCTGGCCGCCCCCTCCCAGGCGGCACCGGCCGCCCCAGGCGGCTCCGCCCGGCCTTGGGCGGCTGCTGCCGCCCGGAGAGGCGGGGCGGCTGGCTGCCGCCGTGCCGGGCGGCCGCTGCCGCCGTAAAAAAGATCGTGTCCGAGGCCGGCGGCCGGCGCCGCCGTGAGTGGTGGATCCCTCGTATTTCACTCCAGGGGCTTGTTCCGGGAGTTTCGGACCTCCAAAAATATTCCGGACAAGTTCCCGATCCTCGCGATATTCCGGACGTTTTTAGGTACCATATTGGCATACTTACAGTATTGTCGGATTTAAGCTTAACTGCCACGATTATTAATTAATCGGGCGTTAAGCTTAATCAAATTAATTAAGGCAGTTTATTTACCAAAAATAATGATGACGTGGATGCATTTATGCAATTGTAGAATTATTAAGAGTAGGAGAGAAATATGCATGAAATGCTAAAATTAAATAGGCAGAGTTTTGTTTACATACCTGGTTTAATCGACGACCGCTTCTTAACTCCAGATTAAGCTCCTTGTTTAGGTATATTAATTAATTTTTAATTTTATTTAATTTTAGTGGTCAAATATCACAATAAAAATGCAAAAAACTAAATTAAAATGCAAAAAGCGGTAAAGAAAACGCAAGGAGCGTGAGAGGGAGAAGGATTCGTCTATCAAAACAGACAAGGCGCACCAAAATCTCTTGATTATTTGCTTATAAATAGCTTGAAAAAATTCATTTTCATTCATTCTAAACTTTCTAACCTAAGGAACTCTCTCAAAATCTCTCAACTTCTAAAGCTCCAAAATTCTTCTCTTTTTTTTTTTTCATGGCTTCCCCTGATCTGAGCGGTGAGGAGTACCTAGGGTCTCTGGGGATCTCGCTTGACGAGGTCAACCTTACGGCGGACGCTGACACTCACGCCTCCGTAACAGGCATCTTCGCCCCTCCAGGCTGGCACCTTGCCGCCCAGGCGCTCCGCCCGCTGGGCGACTGCTGCCACCCGGGAGGCGGGGTGGCTGCTTTCCCGCCGTGGGCCGGCGGCCGCTGCCGCCGTGTCGACGGCCGGCGCCGGGCCGGCGCCGCCGTGTGTGGTGGGATCCCCCGTATTTCACTCCAGGGGCTTTTCCGGGAGTTCCGGACCTCCAAAAATTATTCCGGGACCAATTCCGTGATCCTCGCGATATTCCGGACGTTTTAAGTACCATATTGGCATACTTCTAGTAAATGTCCAAAATGGCCTTCAGTCTGGCCGGACTGTTTGCACTGTAGAAAAGTCAAATTTACTGTAGCAAGGTCAAAATTTGAGTATTCACAAATTATCACCCCAATATAATAGTGTTTGAATTCCAAAACCACTAATTGCCTTTGTTATCTTTTACTTTTATTTTATTATACTTGGTCCATAGACTTAGTCTGACTTATTAAACATCCTACATGTACTAATTATATCCTCTAATACACTCACTAGATACTAAACTTTCACCGTATTAATTCCTAGATTATACTAACTATCCTTTAATTATATATACCACCCTTGTAATTCTATAAACGATTCAACCTCATTGCCCCACTTATCATTTTTCTACCAGACATTCCTTTATATTCCGGAATGTCCTTAAGATTAGGTCCATAACTCTTTCATTACTTGTAAATACTCCTATTAACTATTAGTCAATCTTTTTATAAATTCTTGATCAATTTGTCTTAAAATTTATTCTCGTATAAGCATAGTGAGATCAACGCGAACCACAATTTTTTCTACACTCGTGAAATCCCAAAATATAAAAATCTTTATCTTTTATCTTAAAATATAAAAATCTTTATCTTAGATCCTCTAATGTATCATTATTCCTATTTGCATCAAATCTTCTAACAGTTATCCTTAATTTGTCAAACCTCTAAATACTAGCTATCTTCATTTAAATCACATTAAGTCATACTCCTCACCTTTATGTATTTGATTCTTTTCTTAATATTCATTCAGTAACAGGACTAGATCCATTCTTACTTATCTGATTCATTGGTATAACATCAATTCAATAATTGGACAATTATCTCTCCATATCCGATGTCATTCATCAATACACTTAATCATCATAGCCCACTATTTACATAACATAAGTACCCTAATTTCCTTATAGAGTCGTTCCTCAGATTATAGAATCTTCCGTTAAACAAAAATCATTGTTTGTCGCTTACATACCATCGAGTGTACAACTATTTTAAACATCAAAAGACTGAATACCATTAGATTTAATTCTTATTTATACCATATTAAACCATAAAATTCCACAATCCACACAATATCCAAATATCCATCACTAGGTACATAAAGAGCAAAGTAATTTATCTCTTACTATGAATCACAATTTACTTTTCTTATAACAATAATAATTTATATTATTCCCTATATTCATACACTTGAAAAAAAATAGCTGATGAATACTACAATACACTTTACTCTACTAAGCAGTGATTACTCATAAATAAAACTCACTTCATAAAATAATTCTACCAACAGTATTACTTACGGAAAATACTCATCGTCAATTAATATTCCCCGTCACACCAAATCATTTATTTATGAAACTTTGTATGTATCATTTATGTAAATGTACTACTCAAGATATATATATCTCATGCAAAAAAATGCTTATCTCCATAGTTATAATAAATTCCACCAACCAACATCACGTAAACTTCATCAAATAGATATGCTAAAATCAATACTCTAATTAAATAAATCCTATAATTAAATAAATCCTAATGTCCTTGAATTAGAACCATCTAGTTTTCTTATCAATTTACACTATCAACTCATTCTCAACATACCCCTTCTATAGGCACACATATACATACAATCATGCATTCTTATAGATGTATTCCACATTCAACACGTATTAAATAAAAATAGCACACTTTCATCATCTAACTTCAACTTATTAAACCTATATAACTTATCTTCTTACATACTTAAATTATATATGGATATTATTTATTCCATATAAGGATTTTTGTTTAAACCATCCCGTTAGCATCAGTAACTAAATCACATCTCTAAAGAACAAGGATACAAATTTTACTCATTAAACAACTTGATTTTTACTCATTAAACAACTGGACTCTAACCTGATTGCGCAAAACAACGCTGAAGAGGAAGCAAGGAAAGGACTATGTCAAGACATGACATGGGAATTACTCCGCCAGTATACATCTAGACTTATGAACTTTTTGCTCTGATACCACCTTTGTCACGAAGCCCCATTTCCGTGGCCGGACCGGCACTAGGCTCAGGTAAGCATAAGGCCCCCGAGGCCTCGTAGTAAGCCTAATTACTTCAACTATACATTCCATTACCATTTAAATAGTACATTCCATACCATTTAATAGGAACAGTAAGCCCATACAAGTTAAGATATAAATGTAAATAAATGTTATACAATCCAGCCCAATTTTAATTATCTCCAATAAAATTTAGTTCGGGTCTAGTCATTATCAATCACGTTCATAATATGGGCATACTGATTCTCCTGTGTCTCATAATACAACCAACCGTTTATAAAACAATGCATACGACAAGGCCCAATTGGAAATACACAACCCTAGAACTGCGGAGTTCAATAATATTCTGATAATAGAATAATTTATACATCCAAAATTAAATAACAGAAATATAAAGTTTACATTTATAACTCTGCTTACAGAGCTTCAGTTGAATCCGCTGCTTCCTAGTACCTGAGAGGTTTATTGGGGGGTGAGTTTTGCAACTCAGTGAATAATAATAAATAATACACTAATAATTAAATAATTACACACCACATACAATCAAGCCAAAATGCACCCTAGTTATACTGAATTGAACCACACAACAGTCATTTCATTATGGCATCACAATCAGACCCACAAAACAATATCACCTTTCAAATAATCACATCATGTCGGAAAATTTAGTCAGTGGAGTCACCGGAACCCCCGATTGAGCCGTTCCTCCCACATGGCTTCCATCCTCTCACAGTGCCTAGGGCAGGCCGATTCCCATTACTGGCCGACGCGGTCTAATTCCTCAACTTGACCAGCCCCTCTCATTGTTTTTCTATCCTCTCTTTCTTTTTCATACCAACAGGAGGCAAACCCGGTGGTCTCCATCCCAATCTAGATCATCAAGCGCTCACAACAGGAGGCCACCCTGCGGCGCTGCCGATCAAAATCTAGGACTGTCCGTCTGTGCGCAACGACGATGAGGCCAACCGTGGTCAACCCGTGGTTAACGGTAACGGTAACGGTAGGTGCACACGGGGGCGCCGATCTCCCATTTACCCGGCTAACGGTAATCATATTGGATCCATATAACTGTACGGTCTCACAGTCCCATGGTGACCCACTTCATCCCAATTCCACACAAACAAAACACAATATATGCACAGCACAATTATTCAAACAATTCTCTCAACGTACTACACCAAATACATCCAAAATCAATGCAAATAAATAAATAAATAAATAAATATGTACATAATTAAATGAATACTAAAGATAATAAATAATCAGTAGCACTATATTTATTATGTACCAAATTATAGAACTAATCTAAATAAACTTATTAATTATGTTGTTAATTAAAATTTAGTCTAATTTCTATCAAAATTTGTTGTCCTGGAGGCGCACTAGATGGACCCAGGCGATCTAAGCAAAGTAAGAATGATACAAAAAGAAATAACTCTATCCGACTAAATATTCCTTTACCCTTCTAATATTTTTATTTTATATTCTAAATTTTTCTACGTAATTTAATCTTGATATTTAATTTCTTTTCTGTAATAAATTTTTTTATTTTGCTACCGAAATTCATTTTATTTTCTACCGCGAAATTTCTGGCAGCATCTCCCCTAAAAATTGGATTATCCACCTGTTAAATATCAACAATTTGTTCTAATAACTCCAAACCACACAGCCCATTCCATTCGGGCAATCAATCAACAATTCAATTTTCTCATCCTCCATCCGAATATCAATATCAACATTACCTTTAATTCTCAATTCTTCATTTCATTCCATTCATGATATTATCATCAAAATTCCCCAATAAATTAATCAAAGGATTTTAAGTGAATCAACATTTATATTATAAATCAATACTGAAAATTAAATTAACTTAATTTAACTACTCACAATTGCTAAATTAAATTAACTAAATTAATTAACTACAATAATAAAATTAATTTAAGTAACTAAAATTATTAGCATTAATTTTATTACCCCAAAATATAATCTTTTGTCTCTTTGTCAACAATTTTCGCTAGATCGAGAGTTTTTTACGCGTGCCGGATCAAAGGGCCAGTAACTTTGCCAGTGGCCCAGATCAACTGGCAGTGGCGGAGAGAGGCGGAAGACAGTGGCGATCGGCGGGGTGGCACACGATTGGCGGAAGGAAGCGCGCTGGCAGCGAGGCTTTGAAAGCTGGTGCTGGCTGTTTGTAGGCGAGACAGGCCCTGGGCAGAGGGCTGACTGTGGTGCACGGAGGAGTTCATGGACGTTGCTGGGCGCGCGATGGAGGCGGCGTGCTGCACTGCAACTGCGCGCTCGCAGTGCGTGATCGACTGACGGTTACTGGAGCTTGCTGGCAGTGACGCAGACACAGTTGCAGGGAAGAAGGGAAAGGGAAAGAAAAGATAAAAGGAAAGAAAGAAGAAGAAGAAAAAGAAGAGGAGAGGAAGAGACGGTGGGCGCCAGACAAATGCGAGGAGAGGGTGAAGTTTACGTCTGAATATTGGGAGAGGCTTCTAGAAGTGGTTTGGGCTGATTCGGTTTTGATTCTGGTTTGATTCAGACCCAATTCTTGGTTTTTTTGATTTGCCGATTTTCAATTGTGTTTTCGATTCGCGTTAATCACTGTTAACAAATTATTAATTTGCCATTTTTAAATAATTAAATACATTTTCCAGGGCTGTCCGTTTTTGCATTTAAATAATTAAATACATTTCCAGGCTGTCCGTTTATTAAATTTAAATGGAAAATCTTTGAAAATAAAAATTTGGGTTATTTCAGATATCAAGCAAAAACTTTCATGTGGGACACAAGACATAATCTTGCCATTTTAGTGGCCAAAATGGGCAATCAATTTGGATATACAAGCGGGATGCCATGACAAAACCAGTTTAGGTATTTCATAAGTTGAGTTATAATTATCCAAATTGAACACAAAAGGATTGGTTAGAAAGCTAAGAAGTGGACCCACGACTTTTATGGACACAAGACATGATCTAGCAATCTTAATGACCAAAATGTTTAATAAATTCGAATATACAAGTGGGATGCCATGACAGAACAAGTTTAGGTATTTAAATAATAAGTTGAGCTATAAGTATCCAAATTGGACACAAGAGGATGGGTTGGAAAGTTAAGAAGTAGACCTACAACTTTCATCAAGAGGTCAGATATAGATGGAAAATGGAAAGGATAAAAAAAATAGTTTTTAAACCACCTAAGAGCACATTTAATCCAACAATTCACACAATTTCAAGCATTAATCATAAAATCCCCAATTTCTAACATAAAACCTAGAAAATGAAAATAGAAAGATGAAAGGAGATGAGTAATTTATGATCACTAGCTTCAAAACAAAGCTTAATCTTTAAGAAAATAGCAAAGAAATTGAGTAGAATGTGTAGGAAGATGGAAAAATGCAATTACATTAATAAAACCCAAAACTAAACTAAACCTTAAAAATTTCACTTGAATAGTAGAGAAATTCCTCATATTGTTGAATCCCACGTGCTAAAATCCACCAAATAAGTCTTAATCTTTAAGGAAATTCACTAGCTAAAGGTTTAAATTAAATCGTTTAGAGTGATTTTGGTGTAGAAAACAAAAGGAAGGGGAGAGAAGACATGGAGAAGCATTTAGCTATTGAAGGGAGAAGGAGAAGAAAAAGAAAAATTAAGGGTGAGTCTATTGTAGCATGTTTTATAACATGTATAGAGATTTTAAGGGCATTTATATCATTTTCAACAACTTCGTTAGGAAGTTATTGATGGAGGGCTCAGATTTAGTCTTTGGTATGACAATCTAATGGTTAAAATTAATCATCAAAAATCATCTCATATAATTATTCCTCCAAAATAATTATTTAATTACTTCATAAAAAAATAAATTCTCAAATTTCCTAATTAACAAAATATCATAATTCACTATTCATCAATTACTAAATATCTCCAAACAAATTCACAACTTAATTTCTACCCATCATAATAATGTAGAGTACAAAAAAAAAAGTGATCAACCGATAATAAGAGAAATTGGTCGCTAAATGACATCAGCAACTGATTTGTGACGGATATGTATTGGTCGCAAAAGTGCTCGTCACAAACAGTTTTGCGATCGATTTATTAAGCGGTCGCAATATTCTGACTATCGGTTGCTAATTTTCGTCGTGTTTTCATTCTGAAAAGCCTGTCGCAAATTGCTCGCAGATTGCGTCGGTCGCAATTACGTAAAGAGGTCGCAAATTTTGAAAATTATTGGTTGGTGATCTGTGGCTAATTTGAATTTAACGTTTATAATTTTGGTTGCAGTTCGGTCGCAAAATGTAATTACAGAAAAAAAATTGAATAATATTAAAAACCAATATTTTTTGCACCTGTCAAAAATCCACATATATATACATCACAATCATCATCATAAAGATCACAACACAATAATAATGTAAGAATAGAATTATTAATGTAATGTACTATAAAAAATATGAAAAAATCACAGAAAGCTAAAAAAGTCCGAAATCAAATCTACAAGGTCGGTCCTCTACACGATCCTGTGTCGTAGCATTGGCAAGAGTATCTGCTGGATGCATCGTAGTGTCGGCAGGAGTGACCAACGTATCGTTTGCAGTATCTGGATCAAGAGGAGATGGTAATGGCTGATGCAGAGGTATAGAAACATCTCGATCTGTAGCAGGCAAAGGATCAGAGGAAGAAGTACTAGCACCATGCTGACCGGACATCCGCATGACATGCGCTCAAAGCTCTTCAAGCTGTCTCTCCTACTCATCAACACAAGCCCGTAATGCATTAATCTCCTCGGCACTGTGGTTGGGCTGTGGTCATGAGGAAGCTCTAGAAGCGTCAAATGCTGAGCTTGAGCCGCAGTAAAACTGTGATGTCTAAGACTCGATGCCATATACTTTCCTCTTCTTTTCGCCCCCTATGACCTCTAGATAAAGTGCTAGCTCATCAATTCTTGACTCAGCTTTAGATCCAACCTAAGAAGAAATAACACGCTCGCGAGCTGTACTGTAGTTCTCCTGAAAATAACAAAATTAATTCATCAATGCAGTTGCAAGCTTTATTATGTCGAACTTGTACACGTAAGAGAAGACTAAAAGGTAAAAGTATTCATTCTTCACTGGTACTTATATTGACGCCCAACATACGTCTGTCAACAAACGTATTTCCATCGTGGTCCTTTGTGTGAGTGTAAGTGAACACCTCCATCGGTGTGGGCTCACGACCATATGTTTTAGCCTGTAATGAATTTAAATGTATTTCCATCGTGGTCCTTTGTGTTTGTGTAAGTAAACACCTCCATCTGTGTGGGCGCACGACTATATTTTTTAGCCTGTAATGTATTTTTATGCATGATATATTAATATGATGTCATTTCATTAAACATCAGTTTTGTAATTGTGACTAGTTGACTCACTGATAATCGAGATGTCTTTATAGCAGATATTGATCTGCCTGTGTGTCGTCCGCCGGAGTCCGTGAGGACCCCGACGACGGATGCCACATTCGGTGCCGGAGACCACCGTTCTTTACTTAAACATACAATCATTAAATTAAGATTATGAATTAGAAGTAATTGAGTACTTCACAAGTGGTAGCGAGTAATTTTTTCTTTTATAGATAAATCATTTCATTTCGTTTTCATCTCTTTTTTTTTTTTTTTTTTTGAAAATAGATTTGGGAAAAATCCTACACCTAAATACTGTTTAAGAATTTCCCTTTTTTAAAATGAAGCTCGCCAAACATGTGAATACAAAACATCCAATTAAAACTCCAAACTTCCCAACATCTCCACATAATTCATCATTAACACCAACAACACTTCATATATTTTCCTAATTATATAAATCCTCAATAGCTAGTTTAATATTCATCAATTTTAATTTGCATTCAGTATATAGTATCAAGTCTTAATAAACTAATCATACCAACTCTTCTTGAAATATTTTTTATTCAATCATTTAATGAATCTCATGCTATATCCCCAAATAATATACACCCAACATAATTTGTTAATTACCATGCTTAAGTTTATAATTCAAATAATACAACCTCCCAAAATATATACTTATACATTTGCCCATAATTTCTTAATTTACATAAAAATCTCAATCTTACTAGTACCACAATGTCACTTTCTGCTCTGTTTCTACTCTTCTAGTTCTTCGCAGCAGTAACCACAGTCTTTAACC